TGATGTGAGTCTTATTTTACAGTTCAAATATTTAGCTTGTGAAAATTTCTATACTTTTCTGTACTCTTTATTTTTGAAGAAAGGGATAAAGGAAAAGAAAAAACAAGATAAGAGAAAATCTAGCATAGCACTAGATATAGGATTGCTTTTTACAGTAATTTTTGATTAATTATCATCTGATCAGTTCTTAGACTATAAATGGTGGATAATATGTATGGTAATTATCATCTTTATTATCATTAATCATCATAGCTATCACTTCCACTATAGAGCTTATCACGTGCCAAGTAATGTTCTAAGCCTTTTATCTAGCATTTCATTGAATCCATAGAAAAGCTCTATGATTCAGTACTATTATTATCTTCATTTTTATAAATGAGGAAATTAAGACATCATTGAGGTTAAATAAGTTGACTAAGCTTACACAGACCATAATGGATGAAGCCATAATTTGAGTCAAGGCAGTCTGACCACAGAGTCATGTTTATAACCACCATGCCACCATAGAGGGCATTGCACTGTGTAGTGGATATGATATTTAACTGGAAAACACAGTAAAAATAGTAAAGAAATAAGTATGCTTCAGTTGCTTCAGTTATAGCATTGGAGTAGTCATAGTTATTTCCTATTTGCCTCATGAAGCTGTTTCAAAAATGAACAAAGTTGCCTAAACCCAAAAGTTGTAAGCTCCTTGAAGGAAAATATAAAAATTCAGAGCACAATAATTTATACTAGCTGTGCATGTCTGATGCACCTATGTATTTATTTTTATTTCACATAGGGATATCTCAGAAAATAGAGCTATAGTAAGAATTGTTGGCACAAAAATAGTTATAATAATCAGTTGGTCAAAAGAGTACAGACAGTATAAATACAACAACTTTTATCTAAAATGAAAATGAAATTAAACCATATTTTTTATGAGGACTTCTAAATTATTCATTGTTGTTCAGTCGCTAAGTTGTGTCTGATTCTTTGAGACCCTATGAACTGCAGGACACCAGGCTTCTCTGTCCTTGACTATCTTCTGGAGTTTGCTCAAACTCATGTCCATTGAGTCAGTGAAGCTAGCCAACTATCTTATCCTCTGTTGCCCGCCTTCTCCTCCTGCCCTCAATCTTTCCCAGCATCATATGGAGTGACATTACTATCACAATTTCCAGTGAAGATAGCATAAGAAAGAAAAATGCATTTAATTTTCACTTAAGAATGTATGTTAACCACCTCTTCTGAAATTATCTATTGAATTTTACAAGCCAGAGGTTGGAAAAAAATATTACCCTTAAACCAAATGACAGTTATTTCAAGAATTCAAGGATGGTTAGTTAGTATCTTCACCTCCACTCCAGTCCTCACAAATAAGCATATTATAAATTTCCATATTCTGCCTTGGTTGAAAGAAGATAACCTTTAAGAAGTCAGGAATAAAACGCTGTCTTAATATGATGAAAACTTTTACCTTAAACTAATCACCAGAATTGTACTTTGTGATAAAAGATCTGAGTCATTCTTATTAAAATCATTAATAAGATAGGAAGCTGACCACCCTCCTATATAACATTTTTTTGAGACTTAACCAAATCAAAACTATGAAATTATTATATGAGAGATAGCTCTGGCAAGGAAGACACATATATAGGTTTTTGAAAATATTGTAAATATAAAAATAACTGAATCAACTAATAAATGTCTAGAGCTAGAAAGAAAGTGGTTGGATATTAAAAAACATGTAAAAAATCTATTTTGTCAATATTTACCAGTAATGACCAGGTAATAAATACATTGAAACAAAAAAATGTAATGTAAGATACATGGCAATAATTTTAACATAAGAAATGCATAGTCCATATAGGTAATACTAAAAAAAACTGTGAGACATAAAATGTTTGAAAGTGAAGAGTATCATATTATTAGGTTTAGGGAGGATAATTCAATAGTGTAAAGACGATGATTGTTTATGAATAGCTTAACACAATTCAAATAATAATTCTAGTACTATTTTTTGGGGAAGAGAGGAAATAGTGAATCAAAATGTCATTTGAAAGAATTTATAAATACAACAAGCTAAGAAAATTAGAAAAAGAAGTGCAGCAAAGGGCCTTGCTTTACTAGAATTATAAATACTAGTAAATCATGGTAATAATTCACCATAAAATGAAGGTAATCAGGGCATTATAATAGGAACTAAAATGTAAGGAGAAAAGAAAAGATGCTCTTTAAAACATATCTTAACATGAGCAAAAGAAATACGTATATATTCAGACACCATGATGTGTCAGGGAGAAAAGGAAATATTATTAAGTAAATGTTTCTTTAAGTAACATATTTGAAGAAAAATTATCTCCCCATATTATAATAAATTCTGGAAATATTAAAAAGTTGGATCTAAAATGCAATCATAGAAATAATGGTAAATACTATGCAATCTCAGTATAGATATTTAAAGTCATTGCCCGGGGGAGATTACCATGAGAATGAATATTGTTAGAGAAGCAAACTGCTCCAAGGATTCAGTCCTAGGAATATCAATATATTGATTTCAGGTAATGAGGAGAAAACAGCAAAGAAAAGTATCAAAGAGCAGACTGTACAAGAAAATCCCGAGAATACCATGTCCAGCAAATAAAACTGAAGAAAAGCTTCAAGAGGAATGGGTGATTCAGTGTAGCAAACGCTGCTGATAAATCAAATACAATGAAGACCTGAACACTAATTGTTGGTAAGTGGTAGAATGAAAGCCTGATGTTAGTAGTTCAAGGGGGACTGGTAGGAGACAAACTGTAGATGGAGTATAAACTCTTTTCCATGTTAAAGGAGATCAATGAAGTAGTACAAGAGGGAAAGTGGAGTCAAGAGAGATTGATTGATTGATTGATTGATTGATTGATTTTCTAGATAGAAGAATCAAAATGTGATTCAGAAGGGAGAGGAGAATAATGGTGGACAGAATGATGCTCCTGAGTGGGGGAAGGGCATACGTGGCACACTTCGTTTTTTCTAGAAACAAGAACAGTTTATCCAAACTCATGGAAGAATGGGAATAATTGCATACAGATGCAGAAAAATAGGTACATGTGTTAGTGGGAGCTTGGGTTAGTTCTCTTCTGATTGCTTCTAATTTCCAGTGAAATAAGAAGCAAGGCCATCAACCGAAAGTAATGATGGAAATGGGTCTGGGAAGGGTTTGAAGCTTGAAGAGGGAAGAGAAGGTATCAAATTATCATCCAGGAAAGTGATCAAGATGCTGGACTGGAGAGATATGGCATGGTGGAATTCCAGCAGAGAGGTTCCATTTGAAGTCAGTGATGGTGAAAGTATGGTGAGACTAGTCAGCATGATCATGTGTTTTTCAACAGCCACATTCAGCTTAGAAGGCACAGGCATTCGAGGAGTAGGATTTAGCCAGAGTTAGAATTCACTGAGTAAATGCTAGTAAATGAGTAGTAATAAGAGAAATGAACATTACAAAGCAGTGGTAATAAAGAAGGGTCATGGATATTAAGCTGGTTAAGAAAGTGAGGGGATGGGAGACAAAAGAAATGATAAAAGATGTGGATGTCAATGATGAGACTAAAAATGTTGACACTGAAGTATTAAGAAATGAAAAGTGAAGTTGCTCAGTCATGTTCAACTCTTTGCGACTCCATTGACTATATAGTTCATGGAATTCTCCAGGGCAGAATAATGGAGTGGGGAGCCATTCCCAGTCAAAGGAGAGGATGGTTTACCTTGAGACTATAGAGGCTCTCAATTTCTGATAATAACAAGTCCTTGGAAAGGCTGGTGGAGTGAGGACAAGACACTAAACTTAAGGGTGTGGAAGAGTCCATTTTATGGACATCGGAATCAGCAGGAATTACAGTGAATGGCAATGATGCAAATGAAAAATCTTCTAGGAATGTGGCGGGTGACCCGAGGGTTAGAAGATGGTTTCAACAAGCAGGTAGAGTGGGCAAATCAATGGAGATGTGAGACTCAAAGCTGGATGCTGTTACAGAGGAGAAAAGGTGATATGAAAGTGGCCCCACCTTCAGGTCAGGGGAATGAAGACTGTGAGAAAAAACAGTGGCTTTCACTGGAGAGCGCGGCTGGGGGAGCGATGTGCTGGAAAACCACGTCTCACTTTGAGCAAATGGAGAGGAAATCAAGGGAAGAGGGAGATTATGTAGGGATTTTGCTTATTTCTGGTCATGAGTTCCACAAGGCTCCATGGGGGTTTCAGAAGACTAGGAGAGGTGGTAAAGGAATTTGGGGATTAGATTTCGGGGCCCCAAGTGGTGACACAGAAAACTTGAATTTCTTCATAGTTCTGATTGTTCCAGGGATGAGAAAATGGGGTTTAGCAGCAATATCACAACAATTTAAAAAAAAAAAAAAAAGAGCAGTTAAAATTATGGGATATCAATAGTTAAATAGTTAAATTATGGGATATCAAATCAAAGAGTGTAAAGATTATAAAGACTAGCAACATAATATGCTTGCGAAATGTACATTAAAAAAAAATGCAGGACATAAAACTATACTTATGGTATCATATAAATCTTCTTTATAAGCAAATACATAAAATTGGTGGGAAATTACATAAACTATTAAATGTCTATCTTAAATTTTAGATGACTTTTTTCCCTTAATACTTTTCTATAATTTCTGAATTTCTTACAAAGAGTTTATTCTTAATTATAATCAGAAAAAAACCCCTTGTGATTCTGGCACTTGTCTAAGATGCTGTTGGTATTAATGTACTATTTCGTGACATGAGCAGTGATTTTTTCCAGTTATAATTTTTAAATTATTATTTTTTTATTTTTTTTAATTTTAAAATTATTTTTAAAAATGCATAGTATGATGTCTTTTCTTCAAATGTTTCTTACACACGCACACTCACACACATATGTATACAATTAAGTTTCCTGCAGGTTAGCTGATTTCTACACTCAGTTTATGAATATGTGTAAGAAGAAAGAGCATGGGCTTTATTCAAGAAAGGCTCAGGTGAATACCTGGCATATGGAGGTTTCAGGGTCACACAGGTTGCTATGTCCATGACACTGACAAGGTACACAGGTTCCCAGGGTTGGTCCAGGGGTACGGCCACCTGGCTCAGAACGCAGTCGATAAAATCCTGGCATGCATGTCTGAAAGAAAATGGAGCCAATTAGGAGAGCCAACTTAGAAAGCTTTCTTTAGCAAACCTTGGGTTCTTCAGTAGTTAAAAAGAAAGATATTTTTCGTCCCATCAGTGGTAAAGGCAACACTAGTTACAAACAGTGAATGTCACTTTTGATTCCTAATGTGTATTTCTGCCTGGTCCATCAAGTATACAGGCAGCATCTGTGCTATCAGATGTTAGCAAAGGAAAGTTGTCATTTGCAAATACCACTCAGCCTGAACAAACTTCACATAGTCGTCTTTGAGGAAGAAGTTTGTTTTTAAATAAAATTGTCATATGGACTAAAGAGAGAATCCCAGTGTCCTTGACAACCTAAAAGCTGTCTCCACTGTGCTTGATGGGTAGCTTGATGAGTCCAATGAGACTCAGCAAAAAATTAAATAAATAAAAAGTATTGCGGTTGCATTATTTATATAGGTATAATTTAAAGACTATAAAAGTAAGAAATTCAAAATAATAAGAGCTTTATATGTCTTGGGAATAATAGGCCACCAATAAAATGTATCTTTTCTTGATGTAGTTTTTTTCATCTTGCAATAAAAATCTGAGAGCAAACAGGAAACTGCTAACAAAGCTGACATACACAAAATCAAGGCTTCCATCTTCATTCGGGTTTATTATGTAAATTTATCAAGAAACATCACTGGCTTTTTGGAAGAAAGCCCATCGCTCTGAAGAGGAAATGAGAACAGTCCTGTGTTCTGGGCTCAGATCTCTTAGTATGCAAAGCTGCTGCATTTATCAGCCTTTGTTGATTTATGAGTAAGAGGTAGGAGCTAGTTTTTCAGATTCCACTAAAGATTATGAAGGGATGTTATCCATGTCAACTTTTTTCCATAGGATATCTTACTCCCACTGATAAGAGAAGTGACTGCAGAATAAGCAGAGGAAAATATTAAATTAAGAACTTCTTAATGCCTTTGCATTCTTCTTTTTTTATTTTTAAAAGTACAAAAATATATTTAAAAAATAAACTAAGAAAATAGCAATAAGATGTTAAGTATCTTAACTTTTAACATTACGTATTAGAAAGTTGATTTCTATTCATGTCTGTTCTTGAGATTTTTATGAGAGAGAGAGATCAGATGCTATTATAACAGTAGTTATAAGGGACAAGAATTACATACATTAAATTTCCAAAGTCAATTTTTGTGTTTGTGGTTTTAGTAAGCTTCTAACTATTGGCTTTTCTTAATGCCTTTGCATTCTTTTGGTTCTGGACCAAAAGAACCAAACCAGGGTGGAGTAGGTAGAGGTTCCTTAGAAAAAGAAAACGATCAATAGATCAATAATCTGCATTCTCTTGTTTGTTTAGATTTGGATAATGTGAGAGTACTTCAATTAAGCACTTAAGATTCTCTCTGCTTTTATCTCGGCCTGTAGGAAATTCTAATGAGATATAATAATGTCCTGAATTTGAGCAAGCTGATAAAACCAGGAATAGTATTCAAAATATTTGGAGTTCTATTTATCTTATGGTGGAAGAATCAGATACTTGAATAAGTTTATTCATATTATTCAAAATCAAGGTTCATTTTTGCTATTGTTACCAAGTAAGGTCTGGAAATTTTGACTCAGGAATTCATTTAAGCACAATTGAGGCAACAATCTAAGGTGTATTTAAAAATGTTACACAGTGTAGGTTGTTCCAACTCTGGTGCACGCTGACTGTAGAATAAAATTGGATTTTCTTTGTATAGATTTCATCCTTGGATACCCACATAATTATTGTTATTTTACTGGTATATTTTCTTGGGGGGGGTGTCTTTAAAAAACACACAAATTGAGAGTTCCTAGCTCTATTTTTTAAATCAAACAGAAGTTTAAAACAAGTCTTGCAAGAAGAATAACATTAAGAGATGGTCATTTCCATTGAGGAATCATATGCAATTCAATATTATGGGCTGAAATCTAAAGCAGCCCTGGCAGGTGACATTTACTGTAACACACCCAATTTCTCTATTGCTATGGCTCTTCTCTGGAAAGAGCAGGACGAAGTAGAAAAGCACCCCAGGGGAAGTACAAGTCTGGGCTTCAACTCAAGCTCTGTGTGGAAGCTTCTAGGCCTGTCTCTGTGATTCTCAACCCTGGCTGCACACGGAATCGTCTGAGGAGCTTTAACTTTAGCTTTTTACTGATACCTGGCTCTGCCCCCAGAGATTCTCATATAATTGGTGGAAAGCTGGGCCAGCGTCAGTTGTAAAACTCACAGGAGGGTCTAATAAGCAGCCAGGATTGAGAATCACTGGCACGTTCCTCACTCTGTGCTGGAAGTGTGTGTCTTTGAAGGGCATACAGACTCTGGCAGTGTGACATCAATGAATATAGAAGCCTTGATTTTCCAAGTTTGTTTTGCCTGAGGGATATAGGCAAATCACTTGGTGTCACTGAGATGTGGTTTCCTCATCCCACAAATGAGCATATGTATTAACTCAGTTGATTTCTTAAGTTTCTACAGTTCAAACACTCCAGATTAATTGTGCGTCTTTATAGATCAAATTTCTAAGAGTTAGCCAAAAAAAAAAAAAAAAAAAAGACTACTCCACAATACAAGGGAAATTTAAAACACTTTGTAAAGGGATGTAAATGCATTTATTCCTCTTTAATCTCCTACTCTTGTGGATCTTATTTATATATTTTTTTTTTCTGTTTTTCACATTGCTGAGGATGCTTTTTAAAATCAGATGTTTTTCTTCTCAGTCACCTAGGGCAAAATTCATGAGAATCATTACGTTTGAGTTGGGAATAAAAGAGGAAAGATAACAGCTACTTTTTAAAGTCCTGTTTAAAAATCCTTTCTGGAACAAAATAAAGAATTATCAAAAGGCAAGTAAATAAACATGGTCCTAATATTATCCCTTTTTTTTTTTCCTAACTCAAACTTTCCCCAAGTTCTCTTCTTCTCTTGTGCAGAAATTATTCAGAGCTCAATTTTCTCCCGCTCTTCTTCCATGTTTGTCTTCATAATATGGTCCCATCAAAATGTTAGAACTGAACTGTACAAAAATGTGGGAGGGAGGAAAAAAGGGAACGTGATACAAAGGGAGCAGAAAGCCAACATGCTCCAGGTGTGAGGTGACACAACACCCCTCCATCCTCCTCAGAGTTTAACAACAAAAACAGACACTTGTGCTGTTGCTGGTAAAAACATTCTCTTGTATCTTTACATAGGTTCTACAGTCAGACAATCCTGGGTTTACTTCCTGTTCCACCACTTACTACAGATGACTTGTACAGATTATAAATACTGTGGACTGAAGTTTCCTCACCTGGAATGTAAGGATGGTGCAGAACTTAGTGGCTGAGTATTAATGTATCTGGGGCTTCCCAGATGGCACTAGTGCTAAAGAACCTGCCTGCCAATGCGGGAGACATAAGAGATGTGGGTTCGATCCTTGGGTTGGGAAGATCCCCTGGAGGAGGACATGACAACCCCCTCCAGTGTTCTTGTATGGAGAATCCAATGGACAGAGAAGCCTGGCAGGCTATAGTCCATAGGGTCACAAAAAGCTGGACATGACTGAAGTGACTTCAGCATGCACACACATATTCATGTATCTAGGTTTTTTGAACCAGGTTCAAATAGCTGTTCACTGTCTTCTCACTGTGTGATAAAGGGCATGTTTCCTAACCTGCCTAGGCTTTCATTTCCTCACCCATAAAATGAGAATCACAATACACTCAATGTTGGTGTAAGTATATTAGGGAATGCACTAACACTGTGAAGGGTACAGTAAGCACGCAATAAACGGTCAGTTGTGTGTGTGTTTTTTAACCAGGTTGCTGTGAAGATTAAATGAGATGATATGTGTGTGCAGCGCTTGAAATTTAATAAACCAGTATGAGTTTTTTCTATTCCAGGTAACTTTTTAGACACAGTCATCGAGAATATACTAAAAAAAAAAAAAAGGCAACGATAATTGTTCTTTACTGCATTGGGAAACACACAATGTATGCCACTTACCCATACCATGTTCCTTAATATTTAATGACCATGAAAAGAGTCTTTGGGTCTTCCATGTACAATTAAAGTGGTAAAGGACATCCCCAGAAGTATGCATGTATAAGAAAAACAGTCCAGTCTTACTATTTTGTCTTTTGAGTTTTATGAGCTGGTAATAGGTATACATTGAGGATTTAAAAAATTATTTTTGGCAGTCACCTGACAGTTTGTGAGAGATGATCCAGTATATACTAACCATTCAACTGTGAGTCAGAAGCACTATTAAAACATGATGGGAGGGGAAAGAAGATGAAATGAACAAAGCATCATCAAGAGATCATCTGTGAATATCTGATTTCCATGATCTTATTGCAGAGAACCACATATTCAATGCTGAATAGTTTCAGTTTCTGCATATACCCTAACCTGAGATTAGGTCAGGTGAGAAAACAATGTTAACTGAGATAACAGTGAGGAACAACTTAGGTAAAGTATGGTAATCTAAATGGCTCCCACAACAGCAAATGTGATGAGGAAATTGTGTCTTTTATTTGATATCTAAAGGCAAGCCAGTCTCTACTTCTAATGATAAATTATAAAAAGCAATCATTTCTAGAACTGACATTTTCAATGAACAGGGCTATAGTATTATAATCCTACAGGTAACAGACAACGCTAGGTCCTCACAACTGACTGTATTTACCATGGTAACTAACACTTAATTTTGTTTACTTGCAACCACATTTCTGTATAAAAACATGAACTGAGTAGCTTGCAAATGCAGATGTCTCTAGAATACCTTACATTTGGTGAAAATATTGTAAAGGAATTGCTTTGTGTATTCATGACCCAAAGCATATGTTACTAGAATGGGATGTATTATTTTAAACTTGTCCTTGGTTCTTGCTTTGATGATGAGATTTTATGCCTGAGTAATTATACTTTAAAATCAAGATGAATTATAAACAAGATGCATAATGGATTAGAGGCAATGGGTTGTGGAGAAAACCTCAGGTACCTTATTATAAGAGATCGGTCTTTATCCCCTAATCTTGCCACTAAAGATATTACTGTAATTATTGTCTGTTCATAGAAGCTTAAGTGAAATTCACAGGACATAGGTAAGTCACCAATGCAGATCATAGTTTGTATGTATGTCTAGTTTTTCTTGATTTTTTTCATATAACATTTGCTTTATTTGTGCTAATTTATATTTTCATATAATGACGGAAAGTTCCTAAAATTAATGGGAAAGTACATTTTAGAATATACTATTAATAATATACTATATTTAGATAATAATATACTATATTTAGAATAGACTATTAATAATATACTATATTTAGAATATACTTTTTTTTTTTAGAATATACTTTTAAATAAGCCTGTTGATTATAACCAGATGAGTTTTAACATTTAAAATCTGGAATGGAAGGGGTATGTGGGGGTGTGTGTGTGTGTGAGTGAAAGTAGATTACATTAAAATCATTTGCTTCTTTGCTAATATTTTTCTTCATAAGGGAAAAAGAGTATTCTTTTAAATAAATGCAGAAAATATAGCTATAGTAAGTTTCTCTTCAAGATATCTAAAGGTCAATCTTGACTACTTACTCAATATCTTGTATAGAAAAATAATATTGTAGAACCAGAGAATGTTGGAACTACAAAACCCAGCCTGTAATTTTATAGATTGGATAACTATATAATAACTAAGGCTGATAGCAATTAAGGGATTGACCAAGGTCACACAGTGAGACAGCAGTGCCGCCAACATTCCTTGGGATAAATAAAATTCCACCTTTTGTCTAGAAAAATCTCAAATTCTCTCCATCTTTTATCTTTTTTCATGTTCATTGAAGAGGTAGCATATTCTGTATGTACCTTTTTCACTCCATCATATTTTCACATCTCCACTGTGTGTACGTATGTATATTTCACATGTATTGGGTTGTGATTTCAAGTACAATATACATACTTATTGTACTCGGTCACTCAGTTGTGTCTAACTATTTGTGACCCCATGGTCTGTAGCCCAGCAGGCTCCTCTGTCTATGGAATTTTCCAGGCAAGAATTCTGGAGCAGGTTGCCATTTCCCATTCCAGGGATATAGTTACTGGTGTGTGTGCCAAAGTATATATGTGTGTGAAGGAGTTATGACAATAAGGAGATGGATTATTTGTTCATTCAAATAAATATTGCTGTTCAGGGCAGTCACAGAGCTAAAAATTTATTCCAAAAATATTTCACAGATATTTATAGTTATTCTTAGGAAATGGTTTTCTGACTATGTGAAATTCATATGATGATCGCAAGTTGAAATGGCATTTCAATTTACAATGGAGATTTTATATGTATATTTTCATTTACATTAATCCACATGATGATTGTACAGGTTAAAAAAAAACCCCAAAGTCCAGTAACAAAAAGCAAACGCCCTGTTCAGCTGGAGAAGTTAGGGAGGATTCACCCAAACCAAATGCCTTTCTCTTTTCATCATACCATGCCACCTCTCAGGAGAGTCATAGTCATTGTTTTAAATTTGTATTTCACCTGCCTTGAAAGCCATACTTAATAGAACTTCTCAAATCCTATTTACAAAAGCTATACAAAATTAGAGTCCTCCTTCATTATCTGCCAGGAGATTAGTTCCAGGAGTCTCTGTTGATCCTTAAATCTGACTCGGCTCTCTCATATCCATGGATTCAGCATTAGTAGATTCAACCAACCACGGGTGGAATTTTTGACTGCAGTTGGTTGGATCCATGGAATGGAAACTGGTGGAGGACCCCTTGTATATTTACTGAAAAAAATTCATACATAAGTGGATCCAGCCAGTTCAAAGTTGTTCAAGGGTCCACTATATTTATAAATAAATACACAGATGCATAACTATTTATTCCAGTAATAATACTATTAACCACATTAACTAATAGTGACTCCACCAGGCACTGTGATAAGTGCTTAAGTTTTAGTTCATTTAGTCTTTCTGTGATTCTTGGGCAGTAGAAGGGAGAGATGTTAAAAATACCTAACTGGCGTATGTGGTGGCCACCAACCAATCTAAGAGGAAAGAATTTGTGCTGTAGAGTTGGAGCAAGGCCTGAAGGCCCCTCCCAGACCAGCCAGCTGCTGCACTGAGGGGTCTGAAGGGGAGGAACTGGGTGTGGGGGCACTTACTCAGGGTCTTGGGTATTTACCAGCTGAAGCCCAAGCAAGTTTATAAGCTGCACAAGGTCTCAGCCTTAGCACATAATGAAGTAGAGATTCAAACCCAGGTCAGGTTGTCAGCAATTCCACCTTTCCCTAGATCATACCCTGAATCTGCCTGCAATGCAGGAGTACCCAGGAGACCTGGGTTTGATTCCTGGGTTGGGAAGATCACCCTGGAAAAGGAGATGGCAACCTACTACAGTGTTCTTGCCTGGAGAATTCCATGAACAGAGGAGCCTGGCAGGCTACAGTCCATAGGGTTGCAAACAGCTGGACATGACTGAAGCGACTTCAGTTCAGTCACAGCATGCCAGGCTTCCCTGTCCTTCACCAACTCCCAGAGCTTGCTCAAACCCATGTCCATCGAGTTGGCGATGCCATCCAACCATCTCATCCTCTGTCATCCCCTTCTCCTCCTGCCTTCAATCTTTCCAAGCATCAGGGTCTTTTCCAAGGAGTCAGTTCTTCACATCAGGTGGTCAAAGTACTGGAGTTTCAGCTTCAGCATCAGTCCCTCCAATGAACACCCAGGACTGATCTCCTTTAGGATGGACTGGCTGGATCTCCTTGCAGTCCAAGAGACTCTCGAGAGTCTTCTCCAACACCACACTTCAAAAGCATCAATTCTTTGGCACTCAGCTTTCTTTGTACTCCAACTCTCGCATCCATACATGACCACTGAGAAAACAGTAGCTTTGACTAGATGGACCTTTGTTGGCAAAGTAATGTCTCTGCTTCTTAAAATGCTGTCTAGGTTGGTCAGAGCTTTTCTTCCAAGGAGCAAGAGTCTTTTAATTTCATGGAAGTGAAATAGTACAGCACTATTGAGATTTAATATTTGTAAAAGTTAAATTGGTTCAGTTGGTAAAGAATTGGCCTGCAATGCAGGTGACTCAGGTTCCATCTCTGAGTCAGGAAGATCCTTTGGAGAGGATGTGGCAGCCCACTCCAGTATGTTTGCCTGGGCAATCCCATGGACAGAGGAGCCTGGTGGGCTACAGTCCATTGCCAGAGTTGAACATGACTTAGCAGCTAAACCACTACCACAAAGTAAAAATCTAGAAAATTCACCAGTTCTGAAGATAGTCAAAGGAATATCTTAAAAAGTAACAAATGCAGTTTTATTTTTTTTTTTAATTTTTATTAGTTGGAGGCTAATTACTTTACATCATTACAGTAGTTTTTGTTATACATTGAAAAATGTAATGACTGAAGCAGAGTGGCACTGTTGGAGCAATATATCTCCTTCTGAGAAGCCTATGTTAAAGGGAACAGTCTGATATTTATTGCCCAAGTTCTGACATACTGTATTTAAAAACAATCTCTCAAATTCTCTCAAATCCCAATATAATCTTATCTCATAATCACTGAAGTTTCCATGTCTCTAACTGTTCATAAAAAAAGTGCCAAGAAAACAGATCAGATGCAGTAAATGGGCCTTAAGAAAATATTATTTCCTGTTTCATATTTTTACAAATCTTTTAATTTTTATTAAATATTTCCCTTGAGTTGTGATTCCTACTTCTAGGGAACAATAACATCATCTTCTTATTGCAATCACATACTGTGAGTGGAGGATGAAATAAAATAGGTTGAGGGTATGCCTGAAAGTAAAACCGATTGCACTAAAGGTGGTCCTGGGAGTATTTCCATTCAGCTGGTTAAGTAAATCGGGCTTAAGCAGGTTAGTCGGAGGCAGCTTACCTCACAGGAGAAGCCAGAATAGCCTAGGGGACAGTCACATTTTTCTATCAAGTGAGCTGGAGGAGTCGCTGCTGAGATGCGTCCTTGTTCAGCTACCTCCATTGAGATTTCAGAAATCCTGGAAACAGCGAGCAAATACTTAGATGGCAGTACCAGTAAATTAAGCTCACCTAGCGAACACTCAATCCTGCAAGAGGGGTCTTCCCAAGGTTTTGTTAACCACCACAAACTCATTCTACTGTTTTGAAGCTGCTAAATTCTAGGGGTGCTATGTTCCACATCTTACCCTTGCATTTTGGCTTCCTCAAAGCGTGAGATTCCACATTAGCAAAATATTCACATAAATCATAAAGTGTTTAGGAAATTAGATGTCTGATGTCCTGTTGAGAAGTTATTATAAAGAGTTTTCCCTCCGCTTCTAAAAATGTGAGTGGCTTCAGGTAGACATGGCCAATTAATTAGATATTTTCATTCTTTCAAACAGACAACCCAAGGTCATTCTCTGTTGTCAAATCTCCTGTCATTACTAGTGAAATTGCTTTTACTTTGCAACTGGTCCCAATTTCTTGCTCTTGAATCTCTGAACGGTCTTTCAAGAACTTTAGAAAACCACCTAGAAAATAATGTTTGAGCATAATATAGTAATATTGATCTCTTTCTGTAGATAAAGAACCTCTCAAATTAGTCTTTCCTTCAGCTAACTTAACCCACCTTTCCTATTGGTGGAAAGGTCCTTGTAATTGAAAAAAATTATTCACAGTGAAAATACTGATACTTTTTGCAGTAATTTGAAATTATACATTAAAAATATATGCAGTCCATAAACTCAGACTATTTCATGACTGACTAACTGGTAACATGAAATGTTCTGCAAATAAACTTTTAAATGAGACAATGAATAGTTTTGCTTCAATAAAAGGCACCTCTAAAAGCTTAAAGGAGCTTGAATCATAAACTTTATAACAGGCATAGGTAGGTTTTATTGGTACTGAATTATGAATGCACATTCTGATTTGACTCCTATTGTAATCTGCGATCTGAAGACCAGCCAGCCTTTATGAAACACATGTTCAGTTAAAATTCAGATTTCATTCTCCTCTTCCTGCAGATGCACAGCATTTGTGATATGTAAATAAACCACTCCCCTCCTTTAAGGAGGACTCTGCATTCTCTGAAGGAGTAAGATGGTAACCTGGTATTTGTTGAGAAATCATCTCAGCTGGTATTTCATGGTATTCTATAACCTGAGGAGTTACTAGCATCATCTTCCCTTCTCTGGAACATACACACACACAACAGACTAGTGAGTATTTAAAAATCAAATGGAACCTGAATGGTGTTATCAGTAGACATTTCTGTAACACACTATCTTTTTTTTCCCCTGGGGAGTGAGAGACTGACGTTTTTGCCTGAATCAAGGATTTAGCCAAACTCCAAAAAACAAAGTTGTTAAGATCTTCAAATAAATTTTTGTAAGAGAGTACAAAAGCAAAGAAAAAAGGAAATTTCAGAGTTAACATGTACGAAGTTGGAATCTCAAACCACATGTATAAAAAACTCTTTGCTTCTGAGACTGTCTAAATTTGTAACTGAATAAAGAAGTGGCGTTCTGTCTTAACTATGTTGAGAGGAAGACTCAAACATACTTCTGATCTTTGTCAAAATTCCTTGTCTTACAAAATCAAGTGATGATCCACTGGTTTCTTTGTTTTTATCGTTACTAGGTATTCACTCTAGTTTTTATTGACTCTAGAAAAAGTGAAGTATTTACTTGAAATCCTAAGCCAAAGGATATTATTTAGTGAGTTATATGAAATAAAGTGATAAGAGAAAGGGACTTATGGGAAAAAGCAGACTTAAGGTGCGGAAAGGTGGGATCAGTGTGAGAGGTGAGGAAAGCATGATGAAAAATGCAGGACAACATCATTTCTATCAGATCTACCAACAAAATGTTCTGTGTACGAGCAAACTTTTTTACTAAAGCAGGGGACAATTTTCAAAATAACATATTTGCACACTCACAAGGTTACTTGCTGTCTTCTACAATATGTGAACCTGTTTGGCTTCTGTCACCTAATTTATATTTAATATTCTAAAATAATTAACAATATAATTGACAGGATATTTAGTTCATGCTTTTTAAAATTATTTCATGGAAAGAATCTCCTGCTTGGGATTGACATATACACATTTTTATATTTAAAATATCAATAGATATCCAACTAGATCCTACAATTAAAAAAAATAATCTCCTGTCAGAAATAAGAAATATGAAAAACAAATCAAAGCAATACAGACTTGAAAGTGAATTTTGGTCCTTGATTTTGTCACTACTTCTGGTATAATCACAAGAGCAATATGGCTCTTCTACAATAAAGAAAGGATTTTCTGCCACATGCTTAATAATGGAAACATTTGAAACATGGTATTTTTAGATTCACTGATTTGTCAATGAGTGGGTTCATAATTTTGTTTTCTTTTGCTTTCCTGCACTGATCTACTATTTTGTTACATAAGATTATTTTTAAACATCTATTGACATATTCTTACAGATATAATAGAGACACTAACATGCCAGAGAAACAGACTATCTCTAAAAACTCAACTTTCTGCCTCCATGGTAAACATTTAGTTACATCTGTACAGTTCCTCACTGTATTTCATTAGATAAAGTTTTCGTTATACTTGAGGCACACGACCTCAAGTAAACATGTGTACTCACGATGTTGAAGTATCACAACTTCTCCATTATTTATTTTTTCTTTATTCTATCATTTTTATGTATATCTTGCTGCTAATTCTTCCCCCTCCCTGGTCCCATGGTATACAAACATGCTTACTTGTCTCTCAGATTAAACAATCATCACTTGACCTTTGACATGACCTCTTTTTTCTCTTTTACAACTTTATTCACAGAAAACAATAGCCTACACTCATAATATTAGTCATTGTGTCCCATTCATTCGTCAAAACTTTGAGGCTCTTTCTGCCCTAGAACTTCACTAAAACTGGCATGGTAATTGTTACTGGTGATTCTAACCTTCAAAGAGCCTCATTTTAATTGTCCTCTTTGGGTCACGAAAAAACCACACCCACACGTTTACAGTACTCTCATCCTTTGGCTTTCATGACAGCCATTTTTGCTCTTCTTCTGTGTCCTTTCTTATCCAATGTGATCCCCAGTCTTTCACATCATAAGGCAGAGGGAAGATGGCTCTATCGTGTGACATACTGGAGTGAACGGGTGCAAATGCATATGGTTGGAAGAGACAGGACCAACTTGGCCCTGCCCAGCTCCCCTGAGGGTTGAAGGAGGACACTTTCTCAGCAATCTCACAACGTATTTATAGCCCAGCAGCAAACTCTCTCTACCCTGCAGGACATCATCTCCTGAATTTCTGCTAAGCATCTGAAATTCACCATGTTGAGGATCAGTTCAATATTTGCCTCCTTAATCTTGCTTCTGGTTCTGTTTCTCTTGTTGGGGAAATGGCGGTGATAACTCACACAGGTGACCCGGATGTCATTCTTGACTTGTCATTCTGTCATCACACTAGCAACCCAACTTCTAAATCTTTCTTGTCTGATATCTCACTGTTCTTTCTTATAGACTCGAGAAGAAGAAACTAACTTGGATATCTATTATAGTTTACCTGCTTTGTCTCATGATATTTCCATATGTAGCCTTGATAAGAATATAATGGATATCATATAGTACATCCAAGAAGTCTTCACGGGTCACAGTTCTGCTGATTCGAGGATCATCACCATAATACTTCCATTCTTTCTGATAACAAGAAAAGAAACCACTGTGAAGAAACTCAGTGCAAATCCATTGGCAACATGCACCCAACACCTAACCACCTTACCTCTGTCATTTCAATTTCATGCCGTGTCAACTGGCCAATCAGAGGAGCAGCCACATGCCTGATGATAATCCTTGCATGAGCAGGAGTTCCACCTCGAATGATAACTTGCGGGTTGTATGTAGAGAAACCTGTTTCTTCCCTAGCCTCGAAATAGATGGTGTACTTGAGTTTACCGCCATAGGCCATCAACTGACGAAATAAAATGAGAAATGAGTTACATAAATCTCCGAATAGCATTATTCTAAAAGCATGTTTTATTTTGCTCTCATGTGACTTCAACATTCTTGTCCTTACCTTCTTTCCTTCAAACTGTTCTGGAAGTTTCCAATAAAAAGGTTCCAAATGGAGCTCTTGTCTCACCAGATCCATGTGTGCAACGATCTCTGGATGTTGAAAAATGATGCCTTTTGTAGTTGTGTGCTGCAGGGCCTCATCCACCAGCGGCAGGATGGTCTGCTCAGCCTTCAGCATCACCTGTGCGGGAATCAAAACACAGCAGAGGGTTGAGTGTAAGTCTTTGGAGGTCTCCTCTAAAAGGACTGCGTGGAGACTTCCCTGGTAGCTCAGGCTGTAAAAGGACTGCATGTCTATCTGCGGCCCAGTCCCCTTATGACAAAGTGTTCTCATGAGAAGCATAACTCACGGGCAATGAAGACAGGAGAGGCGATAAACCCTTTGGACTTGTTTGCCTAGTGAAATCTACAACATCAGTGAAACTGGTCTTTCACACTAACAAAAAGTAGAGTTGGAAAGTAGGAAGGGTTAAAGGAAAATTAAGGTTAAAAATGAACATTTTTCCACCCTAAAGAGCAACAATTCTCTAAGGCTCGTTGGAATAAATGAGCAACCAGTTCAGATTTTCATTATTACATGAGCACACATCTACTTTCTTGCTTTAATGCTCTTGCTCTGCAGAAGGCAGCCTCTTCCCACCCCCAGACATAACATTTCCCTTGTAATGTTTTCCTTGCTCACTTGGCATCTATTTCCTTATTCACAGCAAATGAATACTTTTGAAGAAAGAATAAAAAAGATATCTACTCCCATCATCTAATGGCACACAGCCCCTCTACCAGTTCTAAACGCGCACGGGGAAAGGCTACTCAAATGTTTTGTCGCTTCCTCCTGCCGCTTGGTGCCTGGCTAAAAGATGCCAGCAGGAGCTAACGTTACACCGTTACAGGGCCCAGCAGGGCCTCACTCACCCATGCACGGATCAGTCCTTTTGCTTCAGAGCACTGGTTAGTGGCGCCAAAGCAATAGCAGCTGCTGCAGCCAAGAGGATTCTTGGCCTCAAGCCCGAACTTGCCAGGCCGGCACCTGTCACAGCGGATCCCTTCCACATTCACCTGAAGAAAGAGGAGACTTCTTCAGAGTCCGTATGGGGAAGTTGGGAGAGAAATAAACTCAGGAATAAATAACAGGAGAATGTTTAAAGAAAATGAAACAAAAATGAATAAATAAAAGAACACTGAATATTAGATTCACATCTCAAATAGCAGAGTAGGTCATCTCTGTTAGCATGTCATTGGTCTAAAAAATATTTTATTTATAACTACATACATTATTAAGAATATTGTATATTATTTTCTTTTAAATTTAAGCAGCACATTTCCTACTATTCCACTGTGAGGATTATGAAACAGTCATTAGAATTTTGAAAGTGAAATCAAATTTCACTGATTCCTAGACAGTGAAGTGATGCAAAGTTGTGAAAAGCAAGAGAGATGTTAAAATATAGATTCATATAGTTATTCTGGAATACTGAATATACACACATATAGCATGTATTAAATGTAATCTATAACCATAATATGTAATAATTCACCATCATACTTTTTGTTTTGTCTAGGACTTTTAATGGCAGAAGCTTTCATTTTCCTAAATTCTCAAGACTCTTCACAACCTCTCCAGATTTCACCTTCCTGTTTCCTCGGACCCTCTTTGCATAGGCTTTTCTTGAAAATATACTAATACTTCTGACCCAGTCTTTACTGCATTTATCCTGAGATTGATTTTCCAGAAATATCTTAGGGGGAAAAATCCTTCTTATCATTTTTAATCAACTGTTTTTCTACATCACTTAACAATATTAATGAGGGCTGAAATTTGCATATAGTCACTGTAATGTCAGTGTTTATACTTGATGAAATTTTACTGAACTTCCACAGCAGTAAATATATTTTTCAGTGTACAGTGATTGCGGATTAATTTGAAGAGTAACTTTTTTTAAAAATAAACTTTATCATTTAGCTGTGGTTTTCTCTAGTGATGCTTAAGAGAACTGACTTCTTTTCTCTTCCAGATTATTTTTGTTTAAGAAAAGTGAATATGTAAAGAGAAACTAAACTTTACTTTCGAAAATATGTCATTCATTTGAGCTAGGGGAAAAAAATTGGGTTCTGGTTGAAAATAAGTCCTTAAAAAGCAGTGCTTATCTCGTATGTCAGGAAAAGTCTCTGTGTCTGGCAATGAATTTTCATATGTCATTCTTTTTGGCTAAATGATGCAGGAATAAATAACTGAAGTTAAAACAGCAATGCAAATAGAATTGAGTAAGGTGTTTGTTTTTTTTCCTTCCTGAATTTCAGCAGCACATACCTTACAAGTACACTGCCCAGTCTGATCAATGCAGGAGCATCTTTTAGTCTCTAAATCACAGGTTGAATCATCAGTCCCTGGCAGGAAGCAGTCACAGGGACTGCAGTGAGGGTAGTTCCAGTGACCTCGAGTGCACTCTGTACATTTTGCCCCAGAGAATTTTGGATGACACTTGCATTGGCCCGTGTTTATATTGCACTGGAAATTCAAGGAGCCTACTGCGCTGCAGTTACAAGCCTACAGAGGAGATAAAAACAGCAACAATTAACACCATTTCACAGGCAATATCTTTAAATTTTAATTCTAATGCTTCTATGCTTCCATTAAGTACATATTAATCATGTGTCTGTTATATGCTTTGTACTGTTCTAGTTGAGTCGCTTGGGAAACATTGGTGAACATAATGCTAAAATTGCTTCCTGCACTTACTAAAATATATGAGTGTCCAGAAACCATAAAGCTATTGAATAAGAAAGAAACTGCATTTTCTCTCTTTGTGGTGAGGAGAAGTTAGGTATAGATTTTCTTCAAACACCTCTTGTTTCAGAGTAAACTTCTGATAAAGCCATTTCACCTTATCATTTCATTTTTACAGCATTTATTGTTTAGAGACATATATTACAGTTCAGTCAAGGGAGAGAATATATAAATAGAACACAATGGAATAAGCATGATATAATAGGTGAAGTGCAAAATCCTATGAAAGTATATAAAAAGTACCAAACCAGATGTGGGGAAGCCAGGGAGAATTTAGAGGAAAAATGATACTAGGATTTTTTTTAGAGTTAAGTTTTGCAGACAAGCCTGATTTGAGGTGTCATGCTGGTAACCTTTTTTTCTTCTTCCTAGATATACATAGGATCTTCTCAATTTATGTAATATGATATCTTGCTAGAATTTATACAAGTTTGAGTCTTTAAAAAAATTAATTTACTGGAACATGGTGAACTCTTTCAGTTTGAGAATACAATTGTTTTTTAATTCAGTACTATTTCTTCAACTTTGTTATTGATTTTTACTCCTGTTCTAATTTATCAATTTTCTTCTTCAGGATCACCTATAATTCTGAAAGTACATAGTTTCTGTCTACCTGTCAAATCTATAATGTACTAATGTCTTCTGCAGTCACCTCCCTGTTTTCCTCTCAAATTTGTTCTCCACTTTGCCCGTGCTCTCCTACACAGTGAAAACTGTTGTATGCACATACCATCAATGCTTATTTTAATTACGGTATTGCATTTTTAGCTTCTTTTCTATAATTTTTTTCTTTTTTTTCAATAATTTTTTGGTTTCATCTCAGCAGCAATTTTCAATTTGCTGCTCATCCACGTGTCTTGTCTTCTATTCCTTAAGGCTTTCTGCTTCTGATTTAGAGCTCAAAGCTCCATGAATTTAAATGAAAATTTAAGTGAATTACTAAAATGTTATTTAAGATCTTGGAATACATCATTTTCAGAGATGAGTTGTGCCAAGGATCTCTCTGCTGTCTCTGAGCTCTAAACTCACTCCTCTTTGCCTTGTTTTATGACATTATAGTTAGACCCCTATGGATATTTCCCCCTGGCCAGTAACAGAGTGTTAAAATCAGTCATTAGAGGGTCCAGGAGAGACCCAAATAAGGCCATGGTGATAGAAAGACATTTCTCTTCTGGGTTGTGGCTGTTTGTTATCATCATCACTATTATTGACTTATTCAGCATGGGATCCCAGAGGTCCACAAGGAATTCCAAGCTGAGCCATCAGCCCACTCTCTCCCCTGCTGTTTAGGTCTGCTCTCAAGCTCTGACCACGACAGGCTGCTTCTCAGTAGCCCCAGCAAGTCTGCGTCCTCAGTGACGATGGGCAGTGCCTACAGGCCAGCACTTGCCCATAAAATCCGGCAAGTTATTTATTACCGTTGTTGCTGTCATTGTGCCACCAGCAGGCTGCGTATCCCTGTGGTTGCCACACTCTCTTCAAAGATGTCTGAACCCGAGTATTGTTGGGAGTGGGGAACGGGGGAAGACCTTGCTTCCTTTACAGTCCACCCCTTACTCTTGGGGCTTCCCTGACAGCTCAGGTGATTTTTTTTAGAGTTAAGTTTTGCAGACAAGCCTGATTTGAGGTGTCATGCTGGTAACCTTTTTTCCTTCTTCTTAGATATACATAGGATCTTCTCAATTTATGTAATATGATATCTTGCTAGAATTTATACAAGTTTGAGTCTTTAAAAAAATTAATTTACTGGAACATGGTGAACTCTTTCAGTTTGAGAATACAATTGTTTTTTAATTCAGTACTATTTCTTCAACTTTGTTATTGATTTTTACTCCTGTTCTAATTTATCAATTTTCTTCTTCAGGATCACCTATAATTCTGAAAGTACATAGTTTCTGTCTACCTGTCAAATCTATAATGTACTAATGTCTTCTGCAGTCACCTCCCTGTTTTCCTCTCAAATTTGTTCTCCACTTTGCCCGTGCTCTCCTACACAGTGAAAACTGTTGTATGCACATACCATCAATGCTTATTTTAATTACGGTATTGCATTTTTAGCTTCTTTTCTATAATTTTTTTCTTTTTTTTCAATAATTTTTTGGTTTCATCTCAGCAGCAATTTTCAATTTGCTGCTCATCCACGTGTCTTGTCTTCTATTCCTTAAGGCTTTCTGCTTCTGATTTAGAGCTCAAAGCTCCATGAATTTAAATGAAAATTTAAGTGAATTACTAAAATGTTATTTAAGATCTTGGAATACATCATTTTCAGAGATGAGTTGTGCCAAGGATCTCTCTGCTGTCTCTGAGCTCTAAACTCACTCCTCTTTGCCTTGTTTTATGACATTATAGTTAGACCCCTATGGATATTTCCCCCTGGCCAGTAACAGAGTGTTAAAATCAGTCATTAGAGGGTCCAGGAGAGACCCAAATAAGGCCATGGTGATAGAAAGACATTTCTCTTCTGGGTTGTGGCTGTTTGTTATCATCATCACTATTATTGACTTATTCAGCATGGGATCCCAGAGGTCCACAAGGAATTCCAAGCTGAGCCATCAGCCCACTCTCTCCCCTGCTGTTTAGGTCTGCTCTCAAGCTCTGACCACGACAGGCTGCTTCTCAGTAGCCCCAGCAAGTCTGCGTCCTCAGTGACGATGGGCAGTGCCTACAGGCCAGCACTTGCCCATAAAATCCGGCAAGTTATTTATTACCGTTGTTGCTGTCATTGTGCCACCAGCAGGCTGCGTATCCCTGTGGTTGCCACACTCTCTTCAAAGATGTCTGAACCCGAGTATTGTTGGGAGTGGGGAACGGGGGAAGACCTTGCTTCCTTTACAGTCCACCCCTTACTCTTGGGGCTTCCCTGACAGCTCAGGTAAACCACCTTCTTGTGATGCAGGATACTCGGGTTTGATCCTCGGGTCAGGAAGATTCCCCTGAAGGGAATGGCTACTCACTCCAGTGTTCTTGCCTGGAGAATCCCACGTACAGGGGATCCTGGCGGGTCCAAGGGGTCACAAAGAGTAGGACACAACTGAGTGACTAACACTTGCACTTTCCCCTCACCCTGGAAGTAGTAGCTACTCTTTCGTAGCTACCACTTCAGGATCTTTTATATCCCTTTTTGATCCTTTTTGTAACTAACTTTTACCAGTTAACAATTCTTTATATTCTACTTTCCCTGTTTATATTGGACTGCCCTCGTGGCTCAGATGGTAAAGCGTCTGCAGGTAATGCAGGAGACTTAAATGGCAACCCACTCCAGTACTCTTGCCTGGGAAATCCCATGGATGGAGGAGCCTGGTAAGCTACGGTCCATGGGGTCGCAAAGAGTTGGACACGACTGAATGATTTCACTTTCTTTCTTTTTTTCCCTGTTTAAGTTTCCCTGGTGTGCTTTCTGTCTCCCTAGAGGGTATCACCTCTCTCTGTGTCTGAGTTTACCGCCATCAGGGTTTGTACTTAGTCTATGACCTGACTCTTTTTGGGACTTTCCTATTAATCTTCTTCCTCAGAACTATAGCTCTATGGAAGACTCATACACATAGTGACTCGCCAGATTTCCAGATCCAAGTCTGGCTGGATCTCACTTGGCATTTCTCACACTTTGATTGCTCAGCTCAATTCTTACATCCACCGCTACTAAAGCAATGCGTGCTTCTGCTCCTGCCAACAGCTGAGTTACGGGACACCTCTTTCCAGGATGTGATGCACAATCACCAGCGTCCCATCTATTATCTCTTTCCTGTCCAAATGTTTGGTAAAATATCTTCTCAGATTCTGATGTTAAAATATCACCTGGCCTTATTTTTGGTATCCTTATGATTCAGTATTTTTCTGTCTTCACTGTTCTCCAGTAAAAAGACCTGCAGTATGGAATGCTGCTAAAAGTTATTTTAAACTCAAAGGACTAAAAGTGATTATTTGTTACACTACAAACATTGCCATAGTTTCAAAAGCATAGAACAAAGCACTGTCATCACACCAAGTAACTTGTTCATATAGAACATCAGATGTAGAATGAGAATTCAAAATAAGGATGATTGACTTATCCACTTAAGTAATTTTTCCTTACTTATTTAAACAAAATTGGTCATAATCAGAAATATAAATCTATGATATGTTATGGAAACTATAATCACACAATAAATTTTAAAATTCTTATGATATATTTAACTAAAATAAATGTATTAGGCTTTATTAACTAAAATAACTTTCTTTAGACTTTAAAATATGAAATATCTATTTCTCAATTTATTATATAAAATGAAAGGATTAATTCTTAAAAACTAGTCAAAAAATTTGGAACTTTTCAAATTGGGAAGTTTATTCAGGAAGTTATAGTAGAGAATAAATGAGACCATTAACCATATGTTTAGATGACACTATAGCCAACATGAAACTTAAATCATAATTAGCTGTAATGTTTGTTTAGCAATAGAGGATTTACGCACTGTTCCCCTGCTAGTGAAAGATGGCAGGCTTTATATTCTACTTCAATAAGGGCTCAAATGATGTGTGTGCTCACACCTCAGCACAGAGAAATTATCCATGACACAAAGAAAGGAAAGCTATAAATCTCAAAAATCACTGTTCATTTAGATTATAGTCATACAAGATTTTAAATAGTAGAATACATCCTCATAAATAATTGTGAGGGCTCTAGAAATTGTTTGTAATTGTTCATAATGATGAAGTGTCTAGCTATTCAGAAATTTAGATTTGCAACAGTGGTTCAAAGTAATTAAAAAATTTCAACTCCAGTCAACATAGTATTTACTCAACTATCACTAAATGTAAAGATATAAAACATATAAATATTTTAAAAAAACTTGGCCTAGGATCTTCGCTGGTAGTCCTGTGGTTAAGAGTCCACTTTGCAATGCATGGGACACAGGTCAGATTCCCCGGTCCAGGGAGATCCCACATGCCGTGGAGTGACTAAGCTTGTGCACCCCAACTGCTGAGCCTGAATTCTAGAGCCCTCGAGTGGCAACTGCTTAGCTCAGGTTCAGCGACTGCTGAAGCCTGTGCACCCTGGAGCCCGTGTTCCACAGAAAAAGCCACTGCAATGAGAAACCCGCATTCCGCAATGAGCAGCCCTCACTTGCTGCAGCTAGAGAAAGCCCACCCACAGCAACGAAGACCCAGCACAGCCAAAAATAGCTAAAAGAACATAAATAAATAAAATTATTGAAAAAACCTTACTTGGTCTGCGTTCATCCATCATCTGTTGCAAAGCAAAGCCTGGCAGTCATCCCTAAGCCTTCGCTTTCTTATTCCTTAAATAAATGAATTCAGCCATATCTTATTCAGTCATAAGAGCTGTAACTTAACCTGCCCTCTAAACACTAGTGGATAATTGAGGCCAAGCTGCCACAGGGCTTCCCTGGTAGCTCAGTGGTAAAGAATCCGCCTGCAACGCAGGAGCCACAGGATACACAGGTTCAATCCCTGGGTTGGGAAGATATCCTGGAGGAGGGCATGGCAACTCACTCCAATGTTCTTGCCTGGAGAATCCCATGGACAGGGGGCCTCGCAGGCTACAGTTCATGGGGTCCCAAAGAGTAGGACATGACTGAAATGACTTAGAACACACACACAAGCTTCTATCAACTCTCACCAACACTTTTGCAACAGCCTTATAAGCAAGCTTCTACCCTGAAGCTGTATAGATTTCTCTAAATGTGAGTCTGGTCATATCACTTACTATGGTTCACTCATGGAAAAAAATGGGGAATTTTGTAAGCTAAAGGTTGTTTAAATGACTTCAGAATCCTCTCAACTAGCTCCTGAAAACTGATATTCTGGTAAAATTTGGGGGAATTCTTGTGGATTTAAAAAAAAAATCATTCTTAATTTCCTTGTGCTTTGGAGATATATTAACATTTCATTGTGTGTAGGTATGAAGTTAGAAATGTTTCTAGTTTTATTTTAGAATTTTTGGTTCTTTGTCCTCCTTTTTGGAAAGTATCATGGATGAAGCTGTATAAATGTGTATTACTTTAATCATCTTTCCTACAAGTAAAATGTAAGATAGTGATCAATTCCTGCAATCATGCTATAGCAATAGATCTGTATCATTTTGTAATATTGACTCTTGAAATGCCCAACTACAGAGTTCTACCAAAATAGAAATCCTTAAATGACATTATGAGATGAAATAAAGCAGTTCACTCACCTTACAACCAGTGGTGATGCTGTGGCCCCAGCTATGAGGTGCACATTTAGAACATTTCTCTCCGATGGTATTGGGTGGGCAAATGCACCGACCAGTCTTTGGGTCACAGTTATTACCCAGATGGGAACAGTCACAAGCTTCACACGTGAAGGGATTAAAAAAGGAAAAAAAAAAGATATAAAGTGTTGAGTTTTACGTTTGTGGGTTTCTCTGTGATTTATGCTGTTTTATTTTCCATACTATAGTTAAAGATCCTTGAAAATGACAACTCACCTCGTTCATTTTTCATATCATAGTACAGTATAATTCCCCAGGAGGTGGTCATGGCAACCCACTCCAGTACTTTGGCCTGGAGAATCCCATGGACAGAGGAGCCTGGGCCATGGTCTACAGGGTCACAAGGAGTCAGACAGGACTGAACGACTGAGCACACATGCACACGAGCACTGTATACATCAGAGTGGTCGTCCAGTAAATATATACTGAGTTTCATTAATAGTCTAAAAATGTCAAACATTTTTAGCTTTTTGATTAAGGATAAAAAGAACTGATGTGTCAGATTTCCTGTTAACTGTATTCCCTTATATCTAAATACTATCAAGGTTAAATTTTTTAATATTTAAGTTCATAACTAAACATAACTATAGGCTTCCCTCATAGCTCAGTTGGTAAACAATCTGCCTGCAATGCAGGAGATCAGGGTTCAATTCCTGAATCAGGAAGATTCCCTGGAGAAGGAAATGGCAACCCACTCCAGTATTTTGGCCTGGAGAATTCCATGGACAGAGGAGTCCATGGAGTCACAAGAGTTGCATACAACTTAGTGATTAAACCAGCACCAAGTTCATAACTAATTTTTCTATGATCTATAGATTAATATTTCCTTCCTGTGAAGGGGGCAAACATCCTTGTCCATTATACATTCTTAAAGAATGCAAAAATAAGATCTGAAGAAAAACAAAAAGATTTGAGAAGATCTTCAAAGCCATCCAAGACAAGGAAGGCATGCCACTTATTAGCTATAGTTGACTCAGTTGCTGAGTACTTTTTACTGCACCACTTCAAATCAAAGAAGTGAAAGAAAGAAAAATGCCATCAAATACTCAGATTCAAATAGAAGACTAATGTTATAAGAAATCTTTTAGTTAGTTACATGATGATTAAATCCTTTTAAAATACATTTAGGATATTTAAGTTCACTTCTCAAGGGATCACATCATTGCTCACAGGATTCTACCCCAGCTGCGAAAAATGTTTAGCACAACACTTGACATAAATGTTAACCACTGTTTTTATTATTATTGTTGTTGTTGCTGCTGATTTTAAGCCAAAGGATCTACTTTATATGTACCACTTACTAAGAAAAAAATGTTTCACAATATGTTTAAATTTATGTGCTAAACAATTGGGACAGTTTGAATCATTACTTGCAAATAGAAATTAACTATTCAGTTAGGGAGTTTGAGATGGACATGTATACACTGCTATATTTAAAATGATACTTTATGGCCATTCAGTTCAGTTCAGTTGCTCAGTCACGTTTGACTCTTTGTGACCCCAGGGCCTGCAGCAAGCCAAGCTTTCTTGCCCATTACCAACTCCCAAAGCTTACTCACTCATGTCCATCGAGTCAGTGATGCCATCCAACCATATCAATCTCTTTCGTCCCCTTCTCCTCCCACCTTCAATCTTCCCCAGCATCAGGGTCTTTTCCAATGAATCAGTTCTTTCCATCAGGTGGCCAAAGTACTGGAGTTTCAGCTTCAGCATCAGTCCTTCCAATGAATACTCAGGACTGATTTCCTTTAGGATGGACTGGTTGGATCTCCTTACAGTCNATGTACAATGTCATGAACCTCCATCCATAGTTCTTCAGCCACTCTATCCCATCTAATTCCTTGAATCTATTTGTCACTTCTTTTGTATAATTGTAAGGGATTTGATTTTAGTCATAGCTGAATGGTCTAGTGGTTTTCCCTACTTCCTTCAATTTAAGTCTGAATTTGGCAATAAGGGGTTCATGATCTGAGCCACAGTCAGCTCCCCATCTTGTTTTTACTAACCATATAGAGATTCTCCATTTTCAGCTGCAAAGTATATGATCTATCTGATTTCAGTATTGACCATCAGGTAAAGTCCATGTGTAGAGTCTTCTCTTGTGTTGTTGGAAGAGGGTGTTTGCTATGACCAATGAGTTCTCTTGGGAAAACTCCGTTAACCTTTGACCTGCTTCATTTTGTATTCCAAGGCCAAATTTGCCTGTTACTCCAGGTATCTCTTGACTTCATACTTTTTCATTCCAGCCCCCTATAATGAAAAGGACATCTTTTTTGGGTGTTAGTTCTAGGAGGTCTTGTAGGTCTTCATAGACTGTTCAGTTTCAGCTTCTTCAGCATTACTGGTTGGGGCATAGACTTGGATTACTGTGATACTGAATGGTTTGCCTTGGAAATGAACAGAGATCATTCTGTGGTTTTTGAGATTGCATCCAAGTACTGCATTTCAGACTCTTTTGTTGACTATGATGGCTACTCCATTTCTTCTAAGGGATTCTTGCCCACAGTAGTAGATGGCCATTAACTCACCTAATTCTTATAAAACCCAAGTGAGGCAGATACTATTATTTTTGTAATTTAATAGATGAAATTTGCAGGGTAGAGTGAGGTGAGGTCACTCAGTCAAGGTCATATAACTAATTGTTGGTGGTGTGCAGTAATAAGTTGCTTCAGTCATGTCTGACTCTTTGAGATCCTATGGGCCATAGCCCATCAGACTCTTCTGTCCATGGGATTCTTCTCGCAGGAATACTGGAGTGGGTTGCCGTGCCCTCCTCCAGGGAATCTTCCTGACCCAGGGATTGAACACACATCTCTAAAGTGGGAGAGCCACTAAACAAATCCAGGCTCTTTGGTGAGAGTCATGTTTTCAAACATAATGCTACCTTGCCTGTTTTATGCTTTAAAAAATTTTTTTTTCTGTTCTGCTTCTCTGGCTTAGAATGCTACTAAGTTTGCATTTCTAAAATGTTATCACCATTTCATCATTTTAAAATAATGTTTTTGATATTTGTAATTTCTGGTAGTGGATATATTTGAATTTGTAGCACTTTTCTTCAATTAATATTAAGTAAAAATGCTAGCGAGAGTTGTATTTATAAAGAATAGAGTATATTTTAAAGTGCAGCCTTATACACTTTTTAGTAAATACAGATATTTTCTTAGAGATTATACATAGATTCTGAGAAGATCTACAATAATAATATTCAGAGTAACTCATAATGGCTTAATTTATGATAAAAACGGTTCATCAGAAGTGGTTGAGAATATCTTAAAGGTATTGGTTTTTAATATTCTTCCCACCCCTAACACAATTTGCTTCAGTAGTCAATAATCATGTCTTAAAATCTTGCCATGTATTTACCGTGTTCTGAAAGTGTACAAGTATCATCAATGTTGTACTATTGAGTTTAGTAAACAAGAGTAATACTCAACCAAGTGACTGTTGGAATAGAGGTCGATCCCAGCTTAATAGCACCAAATCAAGGCAAATGCTCAAACTACTTTCATCTGTAGTGTTAATTCCTATTTTCTTAATTCAGGATCTGTAGGAAGGCTGTGGCTGCACATATGAGGACCCTGCTTGAGGGAGCCATGGTTACCACGACCCCAGCTTTCATTTTCTCTGGAGCTAACAAACATCTACAGCCAGTCTATTTCTCAGAACATAACAGTTTTCAAGGCACCTGAAAGTGGATGAAAATACTTTTTCTTAGTCAAATAAATAACCTAACTCTACACCTAAAGCAACTAGAGGAAGAAGAAATGAAGAACCCCAGGGTTAGTAGAAGGAAAGAAATCTTAAAAATTAGGGCAGAAATAAATGCAAAAGAAACTAAAGAGACCATAGCAAAAATTAACAAAGCTAAAAGCTGGTTTTTTGAAAAAATTAACAAAATTGACAAACCATTAGCAAGACTCATTAAGAAACAAAGGGAGAAGAACCAAATTAACAAAATTAGAAATGAAAATGGAGAGATCACAACAGACAACACTGAAATACAAAGGATCATAAGAGACTACTACCAGCAGCTCTATGCCAATAAAATGGACAACTTGGA